AAGTCGCTTAATTTTATAAATTATCTTTTAAAGTAAAATGTGGTTTCACTAAAAGAAAGGTAAATCCTATAGCCTACAATAAAAACAAAGATTAAAAAGAACTTCTGACGTGGATACCTAACTATGGAGGATAATGTATTAAGGATGTAAGTCAATTTGTTTTCTTTTATATTAAAATTCAGATTTTGAACTATGCTTGTCACACTGGTTGGTTCTCTTCACACAGTTATAGTCAGCAGCTCTTATGATGAAAAGAGTACCCCTCCAGTCTACAAGTTATGGCATGGACCATAAGGCAATCCCCCAGCATAAAGCAAACACGTAAAAAGTATAAAAGCCATTCTTTTATACAGTTTCATTCAGTAGGATACAGACACAAAAACTGATGAAGTAAATTTTTAAAGTATTAAATTACCAGTATTTTAAATGAAAGCTATTTTCCTATTATGGATTAAATTTATAAAACATTTGAGATATATGCAAAGTGCTATATGATTCACAGACATTTGCCTAATATAATTTTTTAAGTCTACAATAGGGTTATCCAATATTTAGGTCTTTGTCTAGAATAATGAGTTAATATTTTATAAAAAGTACATGTGCATAATTTCTTAGATCAACTCCAGTGTATCAGAAAAATCTTACTAGTCTTTTTTTTTTTTTGACATTTTTGCTTTTAGGCTTACCAAAAAAATAAATAAATAAAATAAAAAATAGCACAAATGGCTGAATTATCTTTACCCAGAATCTCCACTTTTACTGAATTTGCTCTATCTCTTTTTGCAATACATATCATGTTTTAAGTCTCTTGAACATAGTTTCAAAGAAAAATTGAGGTGTAGATATTAATAATGAGGCCAAAATTATTACAGAAATGGTACCAAAACCTTGCTATTGCTATCTGTTTTCACTCAGTAACTTGGTGCCTCATATAAAAATAGTTTATGTTGATTCCATATCACCTATGCTTCTCATAGTATTCATCAATGAATTTTAATGACTTTTAAGTGATTTTAATATCCCTTTAAAAATTAGTTAGGCTCAGCATCTTTTAATACTTGAAAAAATCAAGGTCACGAGCAAGGTAACAACAAAGCAACCATGAATTTAAGACATATATCAAACTATTTTGTTACCTTGAGAAACAAAATCAGATATAACAAAAGACAAAAGGAAAAAAATTGAACATGGATGGACAATTCAGGCCTAGGTTTCCTCTAGATACGTGCAGTTGAAACATCTTCACATGACATTCAGCCTCTCTCAGTAACATAAAAAGATAAGGAAAGGTTTATCTACAAACGAAAAGATGGAAGCATTAACAAGTACTCTGTGCTTGGACCGTGAAACTACTTTGCCAACATAAAAGACAACTAATTTGAACATTGGTCCTATTGTGCTAAGAATATAAAAACTAAACCTGAAGACCGAGTTTTTTAATTAAAAAAAGAAAAAGCTCTATCAGCTAAGCTCACTGACTTAAAAGTATAAAAACTATGTCTTTATTTACTCTGTTAATGCTAGTTGTTGACTATAGTTCAAGCATCCTACGGTTGCATATAAGAAAGGAGACAGGTCTTTTGAGCCGTTCTTCCAACACTCTTACCTTTTTCTCTCCTGCCTATCTCCTCCAAACTGCTGTTTAACCTTTCCCAGACATTTTTATACTTTACTCAAAGCCTTCCCTCATCACACTCAGTGACCGCATCCTTCACAGACCTTTTGAAAATCCATCTCACCCTCCATCTTCCAACATAATTTGAGATAACTTTTAAAAATGTATTTAATATAGCCCACGTCCTCCTGACCTATAGGATCCATCACTATGAGTCGAGACCGACTTAACAGCAATGTGTTTTTTTTTAAATGTCCTCCAAAAAGGACTTGAAGATGCAAAGACAATAAATAAACATGCAACACAAACCAAAATTTACAAAACTATTTACAAAAAAGTACAGATACATTTCTTAGTGTTTACTGATGACAATTTTAAAATGTAATATTCAAGGAAAAGTACATAGGTTTTTAGGTAAATACTTAGTGTAAAAAGTTTTATACAGATTATATACATAAGTACTAGATGTGATGGTACTGATGACGATGATGATGATGACAATAATGATAAAAGTAACATGATCTCATTCAGTGGTTTTCAAACTGTTTAAAACCCTTTCTTCACACCAAATTACACATAGAAGACCAATCTGTAAAATCACACTGAAATGAAGCTGCTCTAGGCCAGAGAAATAAGGGGCTTAAAGACTTACCCTTTCACTACCCCCATCCTCCCCATGTCCTCTGCCCACCTTGTCTCCTGGATCCAAAGAACCTCTATGGCTCTGAGGAGCAGAGTTTTGAAAATACAGGTTTAACTGATTAGAAGCTATTTGGGAAAATCAAATTGTAACTTAATTATAGAAGCTCAGTGTGATCATATGCACTAATTTGGCTCTTATTTCCTTTTTAATAAAATAAACATGGTAATAATTAAAGACCCAAACTACAGAAACCCAAGAAACCACAGAATTCTAAAGGCTAAAAACAATTGCAATCTTTTTACATTTGTTTTTACATTTTAGATGAGGAGGGAATTGGGGGTTCAAAGAGGTTAAATAATTTGCCCAAGTCCTCACACAACAACAAAACTTTTACTGAGAAGAGAATCCAGGTCTGTTGCTTTTTTACTCTATCACATGGTCCCCTCTTATGCTCCATAAAACAATCTGCAAGTATTTTAGATACTACTCAAGGAGTTCTGTGGTGCAGTGGTTAAGGCATTTGGCTGCTAACCGAAAAGGTTAGTGGTTCAAAGCAGCTGCTCCGTGGAAGAAAGATGAGGCAGTCTATTTCTGTAAAGATTTAAAGCCTTGGAAACCCAAAGGCGGTCACTATGAGTCAGAATCGACTCAACGGCAGTGAGTTTGGATTGGTTTATGGTTTAGCTACTACTCAGATATAACTTATTCTACTCAAATTCTTCTTTCTTTGTTCTTCCGTTCAAAAAGTGTCATTCTGCACAAAATATACTAACGGCCACAATAAACATTGATAATAATTATCTTTGAAAACATTCTGAAAGCTCTTGTGGAAACTGTAAGCTATCAACACAGATAAGGTAAACTTATGCTTTAAATCTAATCTTCTGCAGAATTAACAACATAGTAACAACATAGTAAAATTGTGCTAATAGGGATCCCAAGGCTATGATACCAATTTCCTTAGATTAGCATTTAATCAAATATTTTTTGTTTGTAAGGTTTTCATTTTTTTCTTAGATTAGGATCCCCTCCCCCATTGCAGGGAAGGTAGTGCCTAAGGCATTTGACTGCTAACCAGAAGGCTGGCAGTTCAAACCCACCAGCAACTCCTCAAAAGAAGGTTTGGCAATCTACTTCTGTAGTGATACTGCCTCGGAAACCCAAGGAGGGGTTGCTATAAGTTGGATCCGACTTGATGGCAGCAAGTTTGGGGTTTTTTTTTTTCTCATTATTTGAAAGTAATTTTGAACTAACCCTGAATTAAATACAAGTTTCCATTTAATGTAGGTATATGAAAAAAGAAAAGTTGTTATCTAGGGAAGGTTCTGGATAGTTCTATTTTATATTTAATTTATAAATTTGACTCAGAGTACCTTAAATTTCATTTTCTTTCTCTATTCTTCCAAGGAAGTTTCAACCAAAAGCACATCCCCTGCCACTAAGTCCATTCCAACTCACAGCAAGCCTATAGGACAGAGAACTGCCCAACAGGGTTTCCAAAGCTGTAAGGCTGCCTCATCTTTTTCCCACTGGGGCACCCGGTGGATATGAACCACCAACCTTTTAGTTAGCAGCTGAATGCCTCAATCATAACGCCACCAGAGGTCCTTCTGAGGAAGTTTATGTGTGCTAAAATTCTCTATGGAATTCCAAACAAAAAAATAAAGTCAGAAAGAAAACAAGACCAACGTTATCATGTTAGAAAGTTTAGGATCTGAAAACAGCTTATCTTTTCATCTTTAAAATAGGAAATAATACCTATTTATCACATAGATAGACCTGGACCTGAAACAGAAAAATTCCTTGACATATATGCAATGTGAATATAAAACTACATAATTTTATATCAGATAAAATAATTAGCAAGATAAATGATATAACAATTTCACTTAAAAATGTAACAATTAGAAAAGCCAATTTGATTTCAAATAACATACATCCCTCAGAACAAAAAATTTAGGTAAAAACACAAAACTACATTTATTGCATATGTAATGCTAGGAAACCAGCTACAATAATTCTGAAAATTTTTATGATAAAAACTGCACTAAAATAAAAATGTAGACAAAAAAGGTACCTTCCATTTTTCTCCAAAGATTTTACAGCTCAAAGGTGACTTACTGCTATTAAATTAAAAGGGTAATCATTTTGCTTTGGAAAAATGGCAGTAGCTTGCACATACACAACGTTTCTTAATAACAGGCAAGGCGCATGAAAGACAGGAAGCTCATTTCTCACTTGCATTCTCCTCTCCATCTAAAATCCATGTGTGTATATGAATGTATGTATATATGCATATATGTATGGATGTATATATGTATTGTATGTATATACCTTCAGACAAAAAAACAAGTATTTTGTTGTCTATGAAAATCCATAAATTTTTTATAAAAGTTCAACTATTGCTGGATAATATACTAAATATAATACAAATAACAAATATATTGTGCAAACAGTTACTTGGGAAATTAAAATCTTTGAAAATAAAACTATAAGACATTTGAGATATGAGAATGGAATATCAAATGGAAAATTCCCTTAATAATTTATGATGAATTTACTTGAGAAATTAAAATAGGAGGAGCACAATTATTCTCCCCTTTATGAACATGAAAAACCATACAGTGAGGTAATGGAGAACTAAATTTCATTTCAAGATTAAGTAAGATTGCCTGTAACGAGGACACATATAAAAGAAACCAGAACTAGAATCTGTATTTTCATTTCCATTACTTAACCAACCTTTAGCTGGTGGGAAAGGATGAGGAGGAAGTGAATCCGAACAGAGTTCTAAGGGAAACTGCAGAAGTTCTTCATTGTCTGTGGAGGCTTAAAAGGCAAGTAAAGTATGTGTTATTTACTAATGATCTATTTATTAATTAAAAACAAATTTAAGAACTTGGAATTATATACACACACATAGACAGATATATGTATAGGGGAGATTGGGCAGTCTATTTCCGTAGTGATACCACCTCAGAAACCCAAGGAGGGGTTGCTATGAGTCAGATCCGACTCGACGGCATTGAGTTTGATTTTGGTTTTTATAAGATATGCATCTTCTCCCACCCAAAACTCAGTAACATCGAGTCAATTCTGACTCATAGCAACCCTACAGGTAGGACAGAGTAGAACTGCCGCATAGGGTTCCAAGACTATAAATCTTTATGGAAGTAGACTGCTTCATCTTTCTCCTGCAGAGTGGCTGGTGAAGAGTTCAAACTGCTGACTTTTCAGTTAGCTGCCAAATGCTTTAACCATTGCCCATCAGGGTTCCTTATATATATTACTACTGTATAAAAATTTTTTCCTGATTTATTCTGGTTATTTTTTCCTCGGTTTCTCCCATGGGGACCTTTTATCGAAGAATGGTACTACCTTCCCTACTAGGACTATTATGACATTTAAAAAGTGTAATACCTATAAACACTTAGCACAGCACTTTGTAAATAATAAACATTCAATAACAATTATTATGGAATCCCTGGGTAGTACAGTTATTGCTCTCAGATACTAACCAAAATGGAGATTCAGAGCTCTGGTAGCATAGTGCCTAAGGCACTTGACTGCTAACCAGAAGGCTGGCGGTTCAAACCCACCAGCCACTCCTCAGAAGGAAGGCTGGGCAATCTACTTCCGTAGTGATAATGGCTTGGAAAACCAAGGAAGGGTCGCTATGAGTCATATCTGACTTGATGGCAGTGGGTTAAAGGTGCCTCAGAAAAAAGATGTGGTGATCAACTTCTGAAAAATTAGCCACTGAAAACCCTCAGAGCACAGTTCTACTCCGACACACATGGGATCAACATGAGTAAGAGTTGGAATCAACTAGCGGGCAACTGGGTTTTTTAAAATTATTTTAATGCTATATATTGTAGCTTACTTGTTCTATGATACTTAAACTAGTTATCTATCTTCTTTGGTAAATATCTGAACACACAGTCTTTTAATGCATCTATTTTACATTAAGGTACTCTGGTAGCACTGTGGTTAAAGCACTGGGCTGCTAAGCAAAAGGTCAGCAGTTCAAACCTAGCAGTCACTCTGTGGGAGAAAGATGAGGCAGTCTGCTTCTGTAAAGATTTACAGCCTTGGAAACCCTATGGGTACCCTCCTTCTATAGCATCACTGTGAGTCAGAATTGACTTAATGGCAGTGGGTTTCATTTGATATTAACTCGATGTTCAAATTCTATCAATACCATATTATAGAATGTAATCAACTTTTAAAATTTAGATTAAACCTACTAATTATGAATGTACTTTATTTAGCCAGTAAGTCATTTAAACTTTAGAAAGTATAACATTTTTCCTGGTTTTTTTTTTTTTAGCTCAGAAGACATAATTGGTTTCTAATAATTAGGGTTTCTTTGGAATATATTAATCCTTAATCCTAAATTTTACTGGATTAAGGACAACTGAGAAGCTTTTGGATTCTATGGAACCTTTCCTGATAAAATGCACTGACACACAATTTTGGTTACTTCATCAGTGTGTTCTCAGATGCCTTGAAGATTTCCTTAAAGATTCTAGGATAGAATCCTCTGAATTACTGTAGCATGATACCTACTCCCTCACTTATGAACTATCTCATTAATCAAAATTTCACATTTACCACAATAGTAAAAAATTTATCCAAATATTTTGTGTATTAACAGTGTACATCTGACAATAATGGTTGTCAAGGTACAAGGAGAGACTAATATTTGTTGTAATGGTAAACATTATGTGTCAGCTTGGCTGGACCATGATTCTCAGTGTTTTGGCAGTTATGTAATGATGTAATCTGGCATTTATGTAATTACGCAGTCATCCTCCATTTTGTGATCTGATGTGGTCATCCTCCATTTTCATATAACATTGACTTTCACATAATGACCTGGTCTTTGAAACCTAAGCATGTCAGTAAGTGAGGAATGGGTTTAATGTCCTATAATCAAAGTTAAGATAACAGCATCATTCTCTACCTAAAAACCAGTCAAACACCTAGTCATGTGTGAAAAATAACAAGTCAGTTATATGCTTATAATTTCATGAAATTATCTTGGTATAGATGAACAGAAAAAAAAAAAAAGGTAATATCTCTTTAAGAAATAAGTCATTTACTTAATCTACCAGTCCTTTGCATTTTATTACTGAACTGTAACATAGGCAAACATGGACTGCACTTCTCATCCATTAAAGGTTTACCTCTTTGCAATGACTTTTCAACGTGTGTTTTTGTGGTCTGTAAAGCCTGATTTTTATCAAAAGTTATTGCAACCGCTGTGACTGTAACCTAGAATCACAGAAATAACATGATTAGGAAGGATAATCATTGCCAAAATAAGCTTCTCACAAATCTTTTTCAGTATCACGAAAAAGCCTATACAATTTTCTCTGTTGCCTTTCCTGTTTAAGATACTCAACAGAATTACACATACACTCAGACATTCAGATTATAACTAAACCAAATGTGTACAGCTACACCTAGATACTCCAGGAAGCACTCAAGAACCTTCTCCCCGGTAAGCCTCTCCAGACAAGTATACATATTACTGTACACATGCTGGAGTACATGTGTGATTCCACCTGCAAATGACTATAGAGTTCAGACAAAAGAAACAGCTTCATGAGAACATACGTTTTCAAATATTTGAGGGAAAACAGTCTGCACTTAAGTGTTTTAACTGCAGTAAAATTATATGAAAACAGATCAGATAAAAGCTAGAAATCTTCTTTAATAATAGACTGAATCTTAATTACCTGAATTAGTTCATCTTCAGGCAGAGATACTGTAAAATTTACATGGCAAAGGCAGCAGGGGATCATGGATCGTAGTTTAAAATACAGGCTCTGTGCAATAGAAAATACTAGTTAATGTCACTTCTTTTAACTTAAAAATCTGTAAAACCTGATTTTTTTAAATTCACATAAGATGGCAAATAGAAAGCATTTTAAAAAAGCTGATTTAATTTATTTTGTCTAGTCATACATTAAAAATCCATTCTTAATATTTAATTAGTAAGATTGAATTGTATTTATCAATACATATAAAAAATATAGAGGTTTTTAAATTGGCATATACAGAATACATTTTTATGACATTTAAAGCTATTATATAACTTATAAATTATATTTATTTTATATATTAAGAGGGAGAAGACAACTTTAGAATTTCACCTGATGACAGACATGCTTAAGAATATGTAAATAAAAATAACTCAGCCAGTAACTATGTAAGGTATTTCTAATATATACACTGTTTTTAAAATTTCCTGACTCTTTCTTTTGTTGTTATGTGCCATCGAGTCGGCCTCAACTCAAAGCAACCCCTCCTTGTGTTTCTGAGGCGGTATCACTAAGGAAGCAGACTGCCCAACTTTCCTTCTGAGGAATGGCTGGTGGGTTTGAACCTCCAGCTTTCTGGTTAGCAGTCAAGTGCCTTATGCACTATGATGCTAGAGCTCCTAAACTCTTAGGAATCTTAATAAAAGACTCTCTTTTATTAAAAGTTTTTAATAAAAAAAAAAAGGCTTAGGAGTCTTTTAGTCAGTCGGAAGGTTCTTACCTTGAGCAAATTTTCACAGAGATCATTAAAGTTCTTATTAAGAGCTTGATTAGTCAGGTTAAGGCTACTTAATCTGATGACTCTTACTGATGTGAACATCTAAACAAGAAGAGATAGAACCACATGTTGCTGTATTATTTTTAACTAAATACCGTAAGAGTTGGTAAAATTGCCAATTAATGAACAATAATAATAGCTAATGGAGTAGCAATAAGGATAGCATTTAACTGCAATAAGGAGGTCAAAAGAAACATTTTGTGTAATATTTGTACAATTAAGAACAGAAGTTTTACCTGTATTTCAGATGTCCAATTATTTATACCAGGCATAATTTCTGTATTGCAACTATAAAAGCCTGTCAAAATAAATTTGAATTAAAACACGACAGTATTTAATTTGTTTTGTCAAAAAATAACATTTTTCAATTATTACATGAAGTCTTAACTACAAGATCTTTACATTCTTTTTCTTTAAAAGTACATATTTAGAGTTTAAACAATCTTTCAATATCTACAAATTTCATTTATAAACATAAAAGCATTAAAATTCAGCTTCACCTAATTTCTAATGTAAATATTTTTAAATTACGTTTTCTTAGCTTTGGAACATGAATGCAAAGACAGGATGTGACTGAAACTGGTAAAGCCTTTTAAATAAAGTTAATACTGTAACAAATATCAACTAACGTAACGATATGCAAAATTAGTTTCATCTCAAAGGCTTTCCATTCACCTGAAGGTGGAGGAACATCAGTAAGTAGAGAATGTACATCCTCCATGGCATCTGTGTCATCAATCTGAAAATATAAAGATTAACACTAGTGAAAAATGTCTGCCTGGAACATTCTTTTAAGAACCATCTATATGGGATCAAAGTGGCAGTAGCCACTAGAAAGATCAGACAGGAACCTTAGTGGGCAGTGAGTGTTATGTTAATGGGGTAGGAAAAAATCAGAAAAGGAGGGTAAGAATGGTTGCACAATTCAGAGGACGTAATCACTGTCACTGTATTGTACGTGTAGAAACCGTTGAACTGTTGTATGTTTTGCTGTATATATTTTAATAACAAAATAAAATTAAAAAATAAAAAACTAATAAGTAGCAGATGTAGAATCACTTCAGATTTTAAAAATTCATTTTAATTTTCTAAATAGAAAACACAATGGTCAAGGAAAAGTAGACTCATTCATCCCTATGTTAAAACATATAACTTGAAAAAAAATCTAGTATCTAAATTTCTCAATGGTAATAATCACAAAATATTCTTATAACTGCACAAATACTTGTACACATACTACTAAATGGACTATTTTACATATAAAGTACACGGCGAAAAAGGAAAAAATCTTTTCTCATTCTAAGAACATGTTTCAAAAGACTTGCAGTCATTATATCTCAACTTATTTTTATCAACAGATTGCAATAAAAAACAATTTTTTAAACTCAATACAGTACTGTTTTACAACAGATAAATTTAAAGGCAGCTCTAAAAGTAGTAAGTTGAAACAGTGTCTTTCCTATACCACAGTACTTCACTGCAAATAATAAAGAATGAAAATACCCAGCTGGACATATATTCCCACTATTCCCTAAAACACTCCACACTCAAGATTTCATGCATTCTCCAACTACAATGCCCTCTTTGCTCCTTCTCTTAGCGAATCTGCCCATTCCTCTCAGTCCCCAGCCCACATTCAACTCAAGTACTACTTAGCCCGTATCCCAGGATCAGAGATATCAATAATACTTTTTAGGATCAGTGCTTCTCAGACTTCAGTTAATGCTTAGCGTCAATTACCAGGACAGTATGCTAAACGGATTCCTGGACCACACACTGAAATTTTTATCTTCTAGTTCAGAGATGGGGCATAAGAATTTTCATTTCTGACAAGCTCCCAGGTGGTGCTGATGCTACACATTGTCAGACTACACCTTCAATAACCAGTTGTCGTGTAGTAGACTCTGATCATGGTGACCTCATGTGTGTCAGAGCAGAAGTATGCTCCATTGGGTTTTCAATATATGGTTTTTCAGAAGTAGATCACCAGGCCTTATAGTACTCTAGAAGAACCTTTTACCTCCTTGACCTGCCATATTCTTTCACCACGCCTCATTTACCTAATTCTTAAGACTACAGAGTAATATAAAGAAAAATCATAACCCATGTTCTCCTACAAATTAACATTGTCCCCTAAGTTAGGTCTTGCTCCTGTCTGATTACTGACATATTACTGATCACACTCATTGTTTCAGACTTCTTGAGACTCCAATCCCACCCAAGAATTATTCTTCTCCAGCTTTAATGAAATCAGAGCATGATTTTTGATTCCTCTCAATTTGTATCCTACAACATCATTTCTGAGTATCCTCATTTACATTCCTTGCTTTCATTATCCAAAGATTATCTTCTATTTCTTGCTAAGCTAAATATTCTATTAAGGGGGACTGAAGGGAGCACATTTGTGAGTGAAGGGGCTCCAAAAACTGTTATGTCTCATTATTCTCTAGGAAAGTTACTAAAATGTTCTGAATGTATTTTGTATCAGAAAATTCAATTAAATCTTCTGAAAGCAGTTAAGAAAACATTATACTCAGAATTCAGTGCTCATATTATTTTATATCACATATAAAAATGTTGTAACTAAGTAATACATTATAATATATAAAACAGGTAATAAAGCAGACAAGTGAAAAAACTCTTTAGTTTTTTAAATTCATTCAAGTTTAGGAGAAAAAAAACATTCCACAGGTTTAATATTCTTTTAATTATATTTCAATCCATATATTAGTTTTCCCAGAACCATCTGCATTATTGTATTGGCCATTTGGTGCTGAACAAAACATGTATGACCAAGTTCTGCTATTTTAAATTGTAGTGATTTTTATATATATACATGTGTATATATATGCATATGTGTGTGTATATATATATATAAATTCTGTATTTGTAATATTTATAACAGTTGTAACAATATAAAACTACAGTATCAACTTAGTATCTGACTGTAAAAACACATGTCTTAAAAAAGCTTTAAGAAATTAGTCCAATGCAATATTACCTCCAAAACAAAAGCATCTTTTTTTCCATGCGAAAGGTCTAATTCTGTAACTTCATCAGAACTTTCTGACTGAGATCTTAAAAGTCTTGAGCGTTGCCTAGGTTCTGGGATGGGAGATCCTATAATCTCTTCAGATATCTCCTAAAAGAAATATGGTTCCTTTTTATTGTATAAGATTGGCTTTTCAGTTTGGTTTTAAATTTTTTAATTAGACAACTAACCCCTTACCTCCCACCCCAACCCCCCAAAAAAGAAAAAGAAATTAAGACAATTACCTGTGGTGGGGAAAAAATGTCTGTAAAATATATTTCAAGAAGTCTCTCTAAGTACAACCTTTATGACTAATAAAATAAACTTCTATAAAGGATATTTCCTTTATTCTGTAACAACAGCCTTCTTGATACACTAATTGAGAAATTTATAAATGTGTCAGCTATAGCAAGGTAACACTGACATCTAGTGTAGGCTACTACAACAAGCAGGGAATAAGTAGCTCTTCCAGGTGAGGAATTCCAGCACTTTAGGCTATCATTATTTTCTATCAGGCATATAAAAGTCCTCAAAGGCCATAAAAGATTTATGTCTCCAAACAGGATTTTGATCTTTTATGCCTCTTCTTTTGATGGGCAATTTTTTTCAAAATTCTACACAGTTAAGTCTGGCATATAATATGTATGTGTACATATGTATATATAGCTCTGGTAGCCTAGTGCCTAAGGAACTTGACTGCTAACCAGAAGGCTGGTGGTTCAAACCCACCAGCTGCTCCTCAGAAGGAAGGGTGGGCAATCTACTTCCGTACTGATACTGCCTCCAAAACCCAAGGAGGGGTTGTTAGGAGTCGGGACTCGACAGCACATAACAACAACAACATGTATACATATAAATATGCATATATTTGCTATATGATTAAGCTAAATTAACTTTAAGAGCTAAATTAACTTTAACAAACAACCAGTTGCTATCCAGCTGATTTCAACTCAGTGACCCCACGTGTGTCACAGTACAACTGTGCTCCATAGGGTTTTCAACGCCTGATTTTTCAGAAGTAGATCATCAGGCCTTTTTGCTACGGTGCCTCCGGGTGACTCAAACTTCCAACCTTTCAGTTAGCAGCTGAGCATGTTAATCATCTGCACCACACAGACTCCCAAATAAACTTAGGTAGTTACAATAGTGAACTTTTTATAGTTACTTTTTAGTTAGTGTACATTTTATATGGGTTAGCTGGTGCCTGAATATTAAACCAAAAAAAAAAATAAAACCACTACTATCAAGTCAATTCCAACTCACAGAGACCCAAAAGGACAGAGCAGAAATGCCCCATAGGGTTTCTATCGCCTGTGGAGTGGCTGATAGGTTTGAACCACCAACCTTTCGGTTAGCAGATGAATGTCTTCACCACTGCACCAAGAGAGTTCCTTGCTTGACAGAGTCAAAACTCAGAAATGGCTAGAATATATGTGCTCACCACAAGAAGTACCAGAAGAACATAAGCACAAATAAAAAAGGCAGAACTTATTGATGGTGTAAGAGAGTTACCTTTTTAATAAACAAATAAATTACCTATGAAAGTTATTCAGTAAGAAAGTTTTAAAAGTTTATTCCTTGTACCTATCTTACAAAAAGATTACCAAGCACTACAGTTTTTTAACATAATGATTTATGGAGTACGTGCATATCCATTGCTTTCCAAATTAATCTGCCCTATATAAATTTGATAGGATAATATCCATATGCCTACAAGGAAGACCAGTTAATACAACTATTAATCAAATTTACACACCAACCACCAAAGCAAAAGATGAAGAATTTGAACATTTTTACCAACCTCTGCAGTCTGAAACTGACCAAACATGCAATCAAGATCTCTTGATAATTAGTTGTGATTGGAATGCACAAGTTGGAAACAAAGAAGCATCAATAGTTGGAAAATAATGGCCTTCATGATAGAAATTACAATAAAGACCACATGACAGAATTTTGCAAAACCAAGGACCTGTTCATTGCAAATACCTTTTTTCAACAACATTAACAGCAACTATACACATGGACCTCACCAGATGGAATACAAAGAAATCAAATTGACTATATCTGTGGAAAGAGGTGAGAGAGGTTCAATATCATCACTCAGAATAAGGCCAGGAGCTGACTATGGAACAGACCATCAACTGCTCATATGCAAGTTTAAGTTGAAGCTGAAGAAAATTAAAACAAGACCACGAGAGCCAAAATACAACCTTGATTATATCCCACTTTAATTAACAGACCATCTAAAGAACAGACTTGACGTATTGAACACCAATGCCCCAAAACCAGACAAGCTGTGGATGACATCAAGAACATCATACATGAAGAAAACAAAAGGCCATTAAAAAGACAAGAAAGGAAGAAAAGACCAAAATGGATGTCAGAAGAGACTGAAACTTGCACTTGAATGGAAAGTAGCTAAAGCAAATGGAACAAATGAGGAAATAAAAGAGGTAAACAGGAGAGTTCAAAGGGCGGCTCAAAAACACAAAGTAAAGTATTACAATGAAATGTGCAAAGACCTGGAATTAGAAAACCAAAAGGGAAGAACTTGGCATTTGTCAAGCTGAAAGAACTGAAGAAAAAAATTCAAGCATCAAATTGTAATACTGATGGAGTCTAAGGGCAAATACCAAAAAGAACTGGTCAACATTCAACCATTCAATGGATGCAGCATTGGAAGCATTCACTCCTTTATGCCAAGAAATTTGGAAGAAAGCTATTGAGCCAACTGGCAGGAAGAGATCCATACTTAAGCCCATCCCAGAGAAAGGTGATCCAACAGAATGTGGAAATTATCAAACAATATCATTAGTATCAGATGCAAGTAAAATTTTGCTGAAGGCAATTCAAAAACAGTTGCAGCAGTACATTGACAGGGAACTGCCAGAAATTCAAGCTGGATTCAGAAGAGGGCGTGGAACAAGGGATATCACTGCTGATGTCAGATGTATTCTGGCTGAAAGCAAAGAATACCAGAAAGATATTTACCTGTGTTTCACTGACTATGCAAACACATTGACTGGATTACAACAAATTATGAGTAACATTGTAAAGAATGGGAATTCCAGGAGACTTAATTGTGCTCATTGGAAACCTGTACATAGACCAAGAGGCAGTTGTTCCAACAGAACAGAGGGATAATGAATGGTTTAAAATAAGGAAAGGTGTGCATCGGGGTTGTATCCTTTCACCATACGTAGTCAATCTGTATGCTGAGCAAATAATCCAAGAAGCTGGACTGTATGAAAAACATGGCATCAGGATTAAAGGAAGACTCATTAATAACCTGCGGTATGCAGATGACACAACCTTGCCTGTGGAAAGTGAAGATGACTGGAAGCACTTCTTGATGAAGATCAGGGGCTACAGGCTTCAGTATGGATTAGACCTCAACATAAAGAAAACAAAAGTCCTCACAAATGGACCTATAGGCAACAACACGATTAATGGAGAAAAGACTGAAGCTGTGAGGGATTTCATTTTATTTGTATCCACAACTAATGCCCATGGAAGCAGCAGTCAAGAATCAGGCGATGTACTGCACTGGGCAAATATGCTGCAAAAGACCTTTAGAAAGTGTTAAAGAGCAAAGATGTCACTTTGAAGACTAAGGTGTGCCTGACCCGAGCCACGGTACTTTCAATAGCTTCATATGCATGTGAGAGCAAGACAATGAATAACGAAGACTGAAGATAAACTGATGCTTCTGAATTGTGGTATTGGTAATGAATGCTGAAAATACTATGGACTGTCGAAAGAAGGAAAAAATCTGCCTTTGAAGAAGTATAGCCAGAGTCTCCCTTAGATGGCCAGACATCACCTCACAGTACTTGGTCTTACTGTCAGAAAGGACTGGTCCCTGAAGAAGAATATCATGCTTGGTAAAGTGGACAGTCAGCAGAAAAGGGGAAGACCCTCAATGCGACTGATTGACATAGTGGCTGCAATGATGGAATCAGGCTTAACGAGGATTGTGAGGACAGCACAGGACCAGGCAGTGTTTTGTTCTCTTGTACACAGGGTTGCTATGAGTCAAAGCCAACTCAACAGCACCACAACCAACAACAATAACAACAAGAAAAACTTTACTGAGTATTATAATTGACTTCAAAATGAGAAAGAGGTGCAGTTCAAAGGCAAAATAATTTGCTTTGGTTTCAAAATTGGTAAGTAAGGAAACTTTCTAAATCAGTTCTTTAGACTTCTTTAGGGCAATATCATTCTTACTAGATAGCACACTTTTTATAATTATGTAGTAAGTTTAAAGTTCTATTAGGTCTCTATTTATTGTATCATGGATCGAATGTTCAGTATTTGATGTATGTTTGATTCCTAATGAAATTTCGCAACTGCTACTGTTACTCTAAACGTTTTGCAGTTCACATCGATAACCTCTGGTTCAATGAGCTACGTTCATAAAGTTTGATTAAGTGGTACTACACCTCTCTGGTAGCATAGTGGCTAAGACACTTGCCTGCTAACCAGACAGCTGGCGGTTCAAACCCACCAGCCACTCCTCGGAAGGAAGGTTGGGCAATCCTACTTCCGTAGTGATACTGCCTCGGAAACCCAAGGAGGGGTCGCTATGAGTCAGGTTTGACTCGACGGCACATAACAACAACAACACCTCTCTGCACTAGAAATGTTTCTCAAGGTAATGAGAAAAAAAACTCAGACAAAAGCATGCTCTTCATCTGCAGCCATCTTCCTACGAGAAGTCAACATGCTGATCAATGTTTTCAGAGTAGGCATATAATGCTTTACAAAATTGAAAGGACAAAACTATAACACATGTAATGGTCTGGTAATTAACCTTATATACAGAACTTTATATACTAACCAAATTCTGAGATGTAATCCTAAAGGACTATAACATAGTCAGTATCTGAAGTGTCCATTTGTGGAAATACATAATCATATTCAACACATGAAATTCCTATTTGCTGAAATTTTAAAACTCTTACATTTACTCCCTCTTGTGATATATAAAACGTGACACATAGCAGACGCTCAACAAATATTTATTAAATAATGAAATAACTTCATTAATTCACATTCTCGTTTAAATATGTCCCTGTCTTCAAGGATCTTACATTATAGTAAAAGAAGACAGAGACAGACATGTAAAAATTAAGTTCAATAAAATGCAGCAGGCAATAAGACGAAAGTACATCCAAGTACAACAAGAGCACAGTGGAGGAGGTGATAGTTCTTCCTATGGGAGGTCAGAATGAATTTACAGAGTAATATACTATCAAGCCAAAAAGTTCAGCTCATGATAATAGAACTGGTAAATGATGAACAAAATGGAGTCCTAACATATGACTTTGCAGATCACTCTCCCCAGTGGACATAAACACTGTTAGTAGATGTTCAAATACCAAAATATCCAAAAATGACTGGCTATAAAAATGCTAAGAGCTGAAAATGAAAAATTCTGTGTGCCTTTATGTTTTTACTATAAATAAGCCATTCTTCCATTTTAAAAAAGGAGTATTTCAAACCATCCATTTAATCATTTAATAAATATTTATTGAGACACCAGTATTGTAAGGAACTGTTCTAAGCATAAGGAATATACCCGACAGACCTTATGTTTTAATGGAAGAAAATGACAATAAACAAAAAAACACAAAAATGAGTGGGTGTGTGTGAGAAAGAGAGACAGAGGTAGAGAGGGAAGAAATAAGGAGAACAATAAAAGAGGGAGTGATGACAGGCAGTGCTAAAAGTGGATGTGAAAGCTGTAATCTTTAAATTGCACAGTCAGAGAAGGCTCCTTTAAAAAGGGGACACTTGAGCAAAAATGTAAAGGGAGATGGGAGAACAAGTCTTTGACCTAATCTAAACTGAAAATGTATTTGTGTCCAAAATAAGATCATCTAAAAAATATTAATACCAAAAAAAAAAAATGATGTACTCTCGATACAGATTTATTTTACTTACCGGAGGATTGATTTCATATAATTCTTTGTTCTTAGCGATCGTGTCATTTATCTTCTTTTGCATGTGAGATATATGCTGTTCATAGGAGCCATCATTCGGAGTCTTCCCAGCAATCTGAATGCCACCGGGTGTTGGTAAAGCTGCCAAGTATACACCTGTGGCAGACTTGAAAAACAAAGGGGAAATGAAGAGGGGAAAAAAAAATTCTCAAGTTCTCATATGTAGGAATGTGGTCTTTGTAGTACAGGAAAAAGACAATAGCATTAGTAATTGAATAAGCTATGCTGGGAAGAACACACACAAAAAAATTTATAACAGTGGTTGGTTGTTTCTGGGGAAGACCCTGGATAGGGAAGGAATGGGGTAAGAGGGAGGAGGACTTATTTTTTACTAAATACCAATTATAGTTTTTAAATGTTTACCTTATGACTGTGGAAGATAAATTACATTAAAAATTAACTTAGCAAACAAGATGTTATTTTAAAATAAATTTTTCTTCACATCCAGAGCAAAGGAGAGTAAAGAAAGACCAAGTCTCAAGGGAGCAATCAGTCCAAAGGACTAATGGACCACATGAACCACAGCCTACACATCCCCAATACCAGAAGAACGAGACAGCGCCACTACGGAGGGCCTTGACTGGGATCACAAGAGACGGTCCTGGACAGAGCGGGAGAAAAATATAGAACAAAACTCAAAATTCACAAAAGAACACCAAACTTAACTGATCGGAGAGGAACCCTGGAGACTATGGCCTTAAACACCTTTCTGACCTGGAAGTGAAGCAATTCCCAGAAACTACCTTTAAGCCAAAAAAACAGGCCCATAAAACAAACAACAACACCCAATAAGAAACAATAAATTGTACAAAATCAAAAGGGCAACATCTGTCCAAAAGCAAAGATGAGAAAGCAAGAAAGGGTAGAAAATTCAGACAACAGGACACAGAGAACCTAAGACAGAAATGGCAAGAATGCCGACACTGTGGGGAATGCAATCAATGTGTAGAAACTATCAAAAGGGAAATGAATTTACTCTGTTAACTTTCACCTAAAGCACAATAAAAAATATATAAGATTTTCATGAATGAGTAGGTAATCTACCTTTAATACTGTCAAAAGTCAAAGGGAATTGTTTGCAAAGCACTGGCAAAATAAGTAAAGACCTGAATATGAGTGTTTCTCACTCTAAAAGCCAAGTAATTACCTCCATAATTGCCAGGGGAGGGGGGACTTTAATTGACAGATTTATTTTAAATCTTTAACTAAATGGCTATATTAATATCTGACTCCATAACAGTAATATATACTACTGTTGTTGTTGTTGTTATGTGCCGTCGAGTCGGCCCCAACTCATAGCGACCCCTCCTTGGGTTTCCGAGGCAGTATCACTACGGAAGTAGGATTGCCCAACCTTCCTTCCGAGGAGTGGCTGGTAGGTTTGAACTGCCAGCCTTCTGGTTAGCAGTCAAGTGCTTTAGCCACTATGCTACCAGAGCTCCTATATATCCTATATATGGGAGCTCTGGTAGCATAGTGGCTAAAGGCAATTGACTGCTAACCAGGGGGCTGGCGGTTCAAATCCACCAGCAACTCCTCGGAAGGAAGATGGGGCAATCTACTTCCGTAGTGATACTGCCTCGGAAACCCAAGGAGGGGTCGCTATGAGTCACGTCCGACTCGACGGCACATAACAACAACAACAATACTAAAAAACTATCATGGGAAACACAAGACAAGATAGAATTTATGAATATACATATGTACATTTATGTTTTGTTGTTGCTGTTGTTATTTGCTGTCGAGTTGGACCCGAATCATAGTGACCCCTCCTTGGGTTTCCAAAGCAGTATCACTATGGAAGTAGATCGCCCAACCTTCATTCCAAGGAATGACTGGTGGGTTTGAACCGCCAGCCTTCTGGTTAGCAGTCAAGTGCCTTAGGCACTATGCTACCAGAGCTCCTACATTTATGTTTACATATGCTTAATTAAGTAAAAAAAATATAGAAGTATGAACATCAAATTCCTAACACTGAAGGGGTGGGACAGAGAACAGAGAAAATGATTCTTTTAACTTTGGATACTTCCATATTTTGAATTATTTGAATTGTTATTATTATTATTATTTAAAGTAATCAACTGCCAATTCTGTCACAGTCCATCCTAAAAGGGCTACATAATGCTCTACAGTGAAGTCTTCCCAACAGATGAAACTGATCCTCAGGAGCTCGCCCTCTCCTGGTTCGTTCATTAGTCTCCATCACTGACCCTCCACGTGATGCTCAACCACAGAACCTCCTCTATGCCAGATGAAGCCTTAGCACCATCTGTAACACCTTCTTAGCTGCCTTCATTAGCCAGGCAATAGCCCAGAATGGCTGAAAACACTGGCTCTGGAACCAGAAAGGGCTAGGTTTGACATCAATTTCCAACACATACCATCCTATCTTGGACAAATCTCAACCCATCCAAGCATCTGCTTTCTTCTCTTGTAAAGTGAAGATAATATTACATTCTTTCTGGAGCAGCACAATGCTACAGACCTGGTAAGCACTCATCAGAGAGTAGCCATATCATGGAAGCTATTCTTAGACCACGACATTTAAGTGCATGAACTAAAAAACAGCACAAAAACCCAAATGACAAACAGTTGTAGTAACTACCATTAGCATTCAAAAAGGAAAATATTAGTAAGAATCAGAAAAGGTAATATATAAGATAAGGCTTGAAAAATTACACTGGGGACACAAAATAGTTTCAAAGGGCTCAACCATCAAAAGTGTTTTGTATGGTTGGCACATTTTTAAACCTCTGAATATGAATTAAGCTCTTAGTTCACACAGGTACCAATTGCTACAGTCGTGGACTGAGCCCAAATTCCACATTTATGTAATACCCTTGCTAAGATGTGAGTTTTTAGATTACTGAATTAAAATGAACACTTTTCCTCCAAGTAAATTATCAGATATTTTAACATAAACCAAATTAGTTTCATTAATCATTACAAATTTCTCTTGTAAAAAAACTGTGATACCTAATCAGTTTATCATCACCATACAATTATCTCCTACCAAAATTTACATATTTGCTCTTATGGAAAGAACAGATACAGCAGGAAACAATTTAGCCATTTTACCTATAAATGCATGCTGGGAAAAATAAAACAAAACTCAAGGTCCTCATTTCATAAATTTCTTAAAATTACATTTCTACATAATTCTGTTTCAGAATTACCAGCAACATAGTTAAAATTTCTGGCTAGCAAAATGCCTAGAATATGACACTTCCATAAACATTGTTGAGTAAGCAACTGCTCGGAGTTCATATTATCAATATATATATTTTGCAAGGCACCTTGTTCCATGTGTCCCATGCCACTTACAAAGGCAGCTATTGCTTTCCCTCCTGACATTATTCCAATCAGAACCCCTTTTCTAACAGGGCAAAGTGAACAAAAGCTGAGGTAGAGCTTTACACTGCCTCACATTTTAATAGCACTTAAGAAACACACATATTTTACTTACATCCTACTGTTGGCCACACATGCACATATAAGTTACTTCTTTTTCTAACAGTTGGCAGTGTCTCACACACTTTGCCTTATTTTCTCCATTAAAACTAAAGATTACTTTATCACAGTGGTTTTAACAAAGGGTGATTTTGACCTCCAAAAGTCATTTGGCAATGTGTAGAGACATTTTTGGATGTCATAATTAGCAGATGCTACTAGCATCTAGCAAGTAGAGGCCCAGATGCTGCTAAACATCTGATGATAAACAGGATAGCTCCCCACAATGAAGAGTTATCCCACCCAAATGTCAATATTGCTGAGATGGAGAAACTTCTAGAACAATGGTGCCCCACTTACTAAATAAGCTATACACAGTAATTTTTAGAAACCTGATTAAGTCTCTTAAAACATTTGAAAAGCTATCAACAGATTTTTTACTTCATAAAATGTCACCACTCCTTAAAGGTTTTGATGTCAGTTTCTATAGATAAGTCTTTTTTATAAACTCGAGGGCCATTTATAACAGAATCTACTACAAATACAGAAATCACAAAAAAAAAAAAAAAAAAAGTAAAAAAAAAAAAAAAAAGAAGGTGGGGACCAGGTTTACTGGTCCAATAGAGCCTGGTGTCACCACTCCTTAAAGGTTTTGATGTCAGTTTCTATAGATAAGTCTTTTTTATAAACTCGAGGGCCATTTATAACAGAATCTACTACAAATACAGAAATCACAAAAAAAAAAAAAAAAATGTAAACTTACTGCTAAGCCCATCAACATATTTTCACCCACTGAAATCTGAATTCTCAGTCCAAACAAAGCATTCATTCCTTTGAGTTTTAGTTTATTCATTAGCTGAGTGTGTACTTCATATTCCATAAATGGCAGCAGATTACTGATGGCTGTAGCATTTGCTTCTGCCTGTGCTTTCTTTTTCAAGCGACATAATCTGTTAAGAAAAAATTAATCAGTAGACAGTATTCTTTGTAGCATCTTAAGAAACGTTTAATTTTTAAAACTTTCTTAAAGTATGCTTGATTTTAAAATATCTACTTGCGTCAAATGGAAATGTTTCTGCCATTTCTGTCACTGTGTAACCTTTCATTGAAATTCATATTTAAGTGAAAAACCTCAAAATCTTGAGAAATGAAATACATACTGACTACAATCTCTAAAGAATATAATTTTAAATGTTAGGTTTCATAACTGTACATAAGGATAGCAGTATAAAAGAGTTAATGCATTCATTTAAAAAACATAGAAGTTGCTTGAGCAATTACTATGTACCAGGTACTTTTCTAGGTGATGAGCAGTCATCAGTGAACAAAACACAAAAAGTCTTGCCCTTGTGGTTATAATCTAATGGAGTGGGGTGGGAGTAAACAAAAAACAAAGCAATCTCAGATTATTCACGAGTCAAGTATCTAAAGAAAATAAACTAGATGAAGTGAGTAGGAATAACTAGAGAAAAGGGCTTATGGAGAAGATGATAGCTGAGCTGAGATCTAAAGGACATGATGGAGCTGGGAGAGTTGGAACAGAAGCACTTAAGAAACAGAGCTAGCATATTACAAGAACCAAGAGGAAACTACTGTAGCTAAGGTGAAGAATGCAAATATAAGAGTAGTATGGATGAGGGTACAAAGTTAAACAAGGTCATGATCATATTAAAGTGATTATTGGTCATGGTAAGGAGTTTGATTTTATTTAACCAGCAATGGGAAATCTCAGATAGGTTTTAATTAGCAACAAGATGCAGTTTATATTTTAGGACATCATTTATATTGCTATACAAAGAATGGAGTAAGATGGCAGAGTTGATATGGAGATGGTAGATAGGAGGCTACTGTAGGGAGAGGCAATGAGAGCTTGGACAAAAACAGGAGCACTGAAGATGAAGAAAACAAGAGAAAACTTCCTGTTTCTAAAATGTTAAGTTTAGGCTATTTAGTACAGTGTTTTTCAAACTTTCATATGCATTAGAACCACTTAGAAGGCTTGCTAAAATAAATAAATAAATAAAGACCACTAGGCCCTACCCTCAGAGTTTCTAATAATTCAGCAGTTCTGGGGTGGGGCCGGAGATTTTGAATTTCAAGTTCTCAGAGGATGGTGATGCTATTGGTCTAGGGACTACACATTCTGGGAACCACTGATGTACACTTATGCCCTACCTGAAAAAAAAAACCCACTGGATAATGTATTTATTTTTTTAAAAAACCTTCTTTTAAGTATTATGGGACTAGGTGAGGGAGAGAGGAGAATAAAAGGATAAAGAGACAGCACAGGAAGTTCTTTTGTGATAACGGAAGAGTTCTGTATCTTAACTGTGGTGGTTACGATACAACTCAATACATGGGGTACACTGCACAGAACTACACATACACACACACACATACACACACAGAGGAATGCAAATTTAAAAAGTTTTGAGAATTAAATAAGGTCTATAAACCTAGTTGACAGCAAAGTACCAATGTCAATTTTTTGTTAGGATATTCTAGTATAACTATATGTCACCATAGAGGAAGCTTGGTGAAGGGTTCATAGGATTCTCTGTACTATTTTTACAATTTCTGGTGAGTCTATAATTACTTCAAAATAAAACATTTTAAAAAGGTGAATGAATAGCAGCATCATAAAGTTGGCGCAACAGTAAATAACTGGCCAAAAGTGAAAAAAGAAAACTTAGTAAACCCAGAAACCATTTTGGCCTGAGAACATTTAAAAGTCTAACAAGTTTAAATATCCATTTTAATGACTTCAGAGGAAGAGAGGGAAAAAATAAAAGCCCCAGAACTGCACAAAGGTCGCTACAATAATTTGGGACTCCAAAATCTATACCCTCAGCGTGAAGGTGAACAAGGAGTGCACCAGCTGTTCAAAGAATTACCATACAGATTAAAACAGAGCTGTTCTGTTGTTGTTGTATTGTTATGTGCTGTCGAGTCGGACCCAACTCATAGCGACCCCTCCTTGGATTTCCCAGGCAGTATCACTAGGGAAGTAGATTGCCCCATCTTCCTTCCAAGGAGTGGCTGGTGGGTTTGAACTGCCAGCCTCCTGGTTAGCAGTCAGGTGCCTTAGGCACTACGCTACCAGAGCTCCTGGAACCTCAAATCTTGACTTTGGCTTAAAGTGATCACAGACCAGTAGTGTTCCTAGGCAGCTGGCAAATCTCAGAAGATGCTGCTGCTGTCCTATGCTTTAAATTATTACTATAAAGAATTATCAAATTATCTTAACTAGGAGAAAATCAAAGAAAAGCTCTGGTAGCATAGTGCCTAAGGTGCTTGACTGCTAACCAGAAGGCTGGCAGTTCAAACCCACCAGCCACTCCTCGGAAAGAAGGCTGGGCAATCTACTTATCACTTATAGCGATACCGCCTTGGAAACCCAAGGAGGGGTCGCTATGAGTCAGGTCCGACTCGATGGCACATAACAACAACAACAGGATAAAATCAAAGCAAATAAGACAATATGAACAAGATCCACCAGCAACAATAAATAAATTAAAAAACTGGAAAATAAATAAAAATTATCTAAAATCTAGCCTAAAAGAAAAGGCAGACACAGAGAAGAAAGTCTAATATATTTTTAATTTCAATCCCAAGAAGAGAAATAGATAGCTAATACCTAAGAATTTTCAAAAACATGAAAGACACCAATCTACAGATGCAAGAAACTCAATGTTACCAATCAAGATAAAGAAATTCATACCCAAGCATTTCATAGAGTGCAGAAAAGCAAAGACAGCTAGAATAGCTTATACACTAAAACCAAAACCAAGCCCACTGCCGTCCAGTCAATTCTGACTTATAGTGACCCTAAAGAACAGAGTAGAACTGCCCCATAGGGTTTCCAAGGCTATAAATCTTTACAGAAGCAGACTGCCACATCTTTTTCCTACGGAACAGATGGTGAGTTCAAACAATCAACCTTTCAGGTAAGCGGCCATGCACTTTCCAAAGCCCCTTAGCTCAAATTTAGCCAGAGGAAAAAAAAAAGATAGGTTACCTTATCAGAGTAAGACTAGTAGATTACTTCTCAAGAGTAGCGATGAAAGCCAGATGGTAGCAGAATAGTATCTTCAATATGCTAAAAGAAAATAACTACCAGCTAAAAATATCTTCTAAAGATAAAAGTAAAAAAATTTTTTTCAGACAAAAAACACGAAGTTCACCATGAGCAGACCCACCAAAAGAAATACTAAAGGATGTGTCTCAGGCAGAAAAAAATCACCCCAGGTGGAAGGTCTAAGATGCAAAGGAGAATGAAAGCCAAAGTAAATGGATTAGAAATATATTTTATAAGAAAACTCAAGAGGGCATAATAATGCGTTTGATGTGGGAGCTGGGAAAGAAGTGAATATCAAATAATATCATATTTGGCAAGAAGGACTAGACAAACAGAGGTGCTATTTATTAAAATAAAGAAAGCTAATAGGGAAAAAGTAAAATCAGGTGTTCAATTTGGGATAAGTATGTGATGCCTTTGACATACCAAACTAGGTATGTGAGGTAGATCACCATATGGGTCTAAGGCTCAGAAGAAAGTTTTAGACTAGAGTTCTAATCAAGAGAGTCACAGACAGATAGATAGACAGCATATAGACCTACAGGAGCTGATGAGTTCAACTAGGAAAAACACTTCGAGAAGAAGGTTGAGACACAGAGAGAGCTCTGAAGGATTACATTTTGAGGAGGAGTCAACAAGAAGGCTGATGACTACAAATAAAGGTAGGGAAAAATAGCAAATATGGTATTGTGAAATCAAAGGAGTTTTAAGGATAACATGATCAATTATGTTGGTTATCACTGTAATGTGAAGTAAGATAAGGACAGAAATGTTCAACAGCTTTGCTAGTATGGCAGTTTTTGGTAAACTAGACAAAAACCCACTGCCTTTGAGTCAATCCCAACTCACAGTGACCCTATAGCACAGAGTCGAACTGCCCCATAGGGTTTCTAAGGCTGTAAATCTTTACAGAAGCAGACTACCTCACCTCTCTCCTGCAGAGCACCTGGTAAGCTTGAACTGCCAACCTTTTGGTTAATAGCTGAATGCTTTAACCACTATGCTACCAGAGCTCTTCAATCTGTTACCTGTATGCTTAGAACAATTTACTATTTACTACTCTAGTGCATTTTAAAAGAAACTCTTAACACCTAAAAGGAGTTGTAAAAGAAAGACAATATACCACTGTTGTTTAAAAGAAAAAGGATAATTTTTAAATGTGTAACATTTGTAACATTTAGTAACATTAAAGATGACTATGCTGATTTATGGGAGCTCTGGTAGCATAGTGGCTAAGACACTTGCCTGCTAACCAGACGGCTGGCAGTTCAAACCCACCAGCCACTCCTCGGAAGGAAGGTTGGGCAATCCTACTTCCGTAGTGATACTGCCTCGGAAACCCAAGGAGCGGTCACTATGAGTCAGGTTTGACTCGACGGCACGTAACAACAACATGCTGATTTATAAACCCCACAATATTTATATTTTTACAGAATTGAAATGTTTGAAAAATCTTTTTGCATACTAAACTTACTTTGATTTTATAAAGAAGGTACTTCTCCTCCCAATTTTCTATCTAAAACAATGCAAGGTTCAGCTAAAATGACTTGCCCAGGATCACAGGCAGGAAACAGGAGAGCAGGTATTTGAAAATAAAGTCAATTTGACTCCATACCCCATACTTTTTCTGTGACATAAATATTTGTTTCACAGACATACCTTGCTTGAATAAGACAACCTTTTCCAATAACTGTCGCGTCCACTGGGAGATCTATAGTTGTAAAGAGAACATCAGGAACTTTTTGTTTCCTGCAGTTACAGCAATATGTCAGATGAGCTGGAAATGGCATATTCAGTTCATCATATGGTATATGGCAAAATCCACAGCCTGGAAGCAAATTTTCTTCTAGCCTAAAAATACATTAAGAAAAAAAATTAATTTTTCTTGAAAAATCTATGCAATTTTTTCAAAAACAAGTATCATTTATACAGTTTTATACCACAGCAGATTCAAAGAGTACCACTATGACTGATAAGAATTACAAATGACCATGAATTCAGAGCCATACTTCTCCCTATGAGAGAACAGGATTATATAAGTAGAAAGTTATTTTGAACTAATTCATATGTTTGATGATTTGCCACCTGACAAAAACCACAAAGTTTTTCCTACATGAAAGTTCCAACATTTGTAAAGAACACTGGTAAAAGCATATACCAAACCAAATTCACTGCCATCGAGTTGATTCTGACTCATAGCAACCCCCTTTGGGTTTCCAAGGTGGTAAATGTTTACGGAAGTAGATTGCCCAGTCTTCCTTCCACGGAGTGGCTGGTGTCTTTGAACCACCCACCTTCTGGTTAGCAGTAAAATGCCTTTGGCACTATGCCACCAGAGCTCCTTGGTGAAAGCATATACAACATTAAAATAAATAGTTGGATAAGAAAGGTTATTAAATTAACAAATTCAAGAGAGATATAATCACAAAAGTGAAATCCTAAGAAAACTATTTAAAAAACAAGACCAATTAGCAATTTAAAAAAGGAAATGTGGATGTAAAAAACAAATCTGAAAAGAAAAAAAAAAAAAACTCAAAATGGGTATACACTAAGATTTCAAATTCCAAGTGACAGTTTTAACATTTCTGAAAACCATAACACCTATTATGTTTCATAAACAACATGCTATCACACACAAACCACAAATGAACCCACTTATAAACCCCCATTCATTGTAAAATGTTTGTTGTAATATGCCGTTTACTAATTCATTTTAGAATAATTGAGAGGTTTCACTAGATTTCTTTTATTCAGCAAACTGAGGAAATCAGAATGGCAATGGAAACTCCAAAAAGAATGTCAGACTTTCACCCAGCCATGTCTTAGAGAGCTCTGGCAAGTTGTGGGTTCTCAAAATCTCCGTACCCTAAAGCAACTCGGATTCTTGGCAAGTTGATAAATTAAAAAAGGAAACTCACTGCCGTTGAGTTGATTCTAACTCACAGCAACCCCTCCTTGAGTTTCCAAGGTGGTATCTCTATGGAGTAGACTGCCTGGTCTTCCTTCCGAGGAGTGGCTGGTGGGTTTGAACCGCCAGCCTTCTGGTTAGCAGTCAAATGCCTTAGGCATTACATCACCAGAGCTAGTGCCTAAGGCATCTGACTGCTAACCAGAAGGTTAGTGCTTCAAAATCACCAGCCACTCTGCAGAAGGAAGACTGGAATCTACTTCTGTAAAGATTTACCACCTCGGAAACCCAAAGGGGGTTGCTGTGAGTCAGAACTGACTCGATGACTGAGTTTGGTTTTTCTTTTTTAAAAAAAAAAAGGAAAAAGAAACCTATATTATAACATAGGCTTTCTGCAGACGATAGATATTTCACCAAATTCTCACAATAAACCATTATATTATTCCCAGATATTATTATTTCATCATTGAAATGGCATTCTGATATAGCAGAAGTAATAGGGAAGTCAGACAGATCTGAATTGAGCTGTGTGACCCTGAGGAAGTTATTTAACTTCTCAGAGCCTCCTCTATAAAGTCAGAATAATATCTACCTAAAAAGATACGGATTATTTTCTGCTTTCTTCCTTAATATATTCTTAATATATCAGTACAGAAATAGACCAAAAAAAAAAAAAAAAATTCAAGTAAGCTTACTATGGAGTAAAAGATTAAGATTTGTATTATCCAACCAAATAGACATTGGAAAACTATTTTCATTTTCAAAAATAATAAACTTATATTTCACTTTCCATGAAGCTTTCGTATATAATTTTATACAACTAATTGTTCAACATTTTGCCAATTAAGAATTTTCTTTATGAGAATTGTTTCCTGATCTTTTACAACTTTGGGGAGTAGACAAAGGATAAGAAAAAGAGAGAAATCAAATGAAGAAGAATATTTCTAAATTGTGACAACTACCAGAAGAATGTATACTTCAAATTCTCTAACTAGTAGCCATATGTGACACATTACTCAACGTATTAGAAACAGTGTCTACAGAACCCAATAAAGCTTTGTTACTATGGTTAGTTAAAAATTAGTAAGGTGATTGGTCCTGACTTCTACACCATACCACTATAACCCACCCTCAAAGAAAGGAACTATTCTGGCTTTGAGAAAAAGAACTCTCCCTTCTCTGCCTCTATGGAAAAGAAAGTCAGGCTGCCATTACAACCTCTGTTCCAAACAGCCCTCCACGGTGCCATCCTGCAGCAATCTAGGATTCAGTACAGCTGCTGTCCCAGATGCAGATAAAATACAGACTTCCTCACTATGAGAGAAGAAAAAAACATAGACAAGTCAACATTTCAGGCATGTAACTTCAGAAAATGCTAAATAGCCAAGTGGTTACTAGGGAAACAAATTTAAATCCAAGTTAGACTCCACTAAATATTACATAATATCACAGTATTACCTCTAAAGCTAGGGAAGAAAATATAAGGGATGCAACTTAATTAAAATGAAGAGGATAAGAATTCCTTATTACTTAAAATTTATAAACAATGAGAGAGCTCTGGTGGCGTAGTGCCTAAGGCACCTGACTGCTAACCAGAAGGCTGGTGGTTCAAACCCACCAGGCACTCCTCAGAAGGAAGGCTGGCAATCTACTTCCGTAGTGATACCACCTCAGAAACCCAAGGAGGGGTCGCTATGAGTTGGGTCTGACTTGATGGCACATAACAACAACAACAACAATAGTTTCCTTTAAAAAATGGTAAGACTGAGAGACTGGAATGTTTCCGATTATAAACTAACAACCTACATTGCTGAATTCAGCAATAATTCATTGAATTTTATTAAAATACTCTTTAAAAGCACATTAAATTTTATTAAAAATTTTCTAAGAGCATAGCCATGTAAGTTTCTATATTCCTATAGCTTGATTTAAATTTAATAACAAATATATCTGAAACAATACAGTATCCAAAATATACTAAAAGGAGCTTACACTACATCATTTACATGTATGTTAAAAAATGATTTTTCAAAATAATTCTTCAAAAGAAAACTTTTTAATTCAAAAACTAAAATGTTAAATGATCAACACAATTATTGTATGAGGTTACTCAAAGAAAATGAGAAAAGCAGTAGTCTGAGGATGAAATGGTAGAAACAATGGATAAATGGAACAAAAGCCTGAAAGACAGAAAAAAAATGGTCACTGAACTTAAATGAGTAGAGGGAGGGCAGGCCGAAAAGCTAAGTGGTTAGTGAAAAGCCAACACTTCACTCACTGAGTAACATGGAGCTGCTGATGGTTTTTCAACCAAGGAACTGAAAGAGTGGAACTCCGTATCAAGGAGTTAAATCCATTATTATTAGGTAGGATGAGTAAGAACAGGAAAAAGACAGGATTGAAATACAAAGTTTTTTGTTTATTTATTTTGAAGTCAGAGAAAGAAATGAAGGCGCTTGCATCAGATCAACTGAAATTTATAAGTAAATAAAATGGACTCATTTCCAACCACTCCCGCGTTTGTGACTTTTCTCTAGCCATCTAATCTCTTGTTCTGCATACATGTGATTCCATAGTGTGGAATGCTATCCCTATGCCTCTTTTCCTCATTTATGGAATTCATACTCATCCTCCAAGGCCCAGTTCAAGCATTACTTCACTGACACTTCCTCCCAATCCTCCTGACCTCCAACCTTCTGTGATCTCAAAGCAGCCAGGACATCTCTACCATAAAGTTTATTATACTGGCATAATATCCCAACAGAATGTGAGTATGATGGCAAGAACTGTCTTTTGAAATCCTATCTCTAGGAGCTGAAGGTATCTTCCCCCAAATCAAAGAATGAGCCAAGACTACCCACTGAGGAGTAAGGCAGGATAAGTAAGGATGACAAAGTTAGCAATTTAACAAGAGTAGAACTAAGGGAATAGAATAGCTCAAGGGCATAAATAATGGTCTTCCAAGAAAAAGAGAGGCCGTACAAAGCATAAAATAGCATAGCTCTGTAATACCTAGAGTTAGTGCAGTTTAATGATTTTTCTCTAAAAGGAATAATCACAACAGCAGACACATCTGGCAGTAAGAATTATCTAAGAATAAAAGGTGAAAGGAGAAGGCAGTGGAAAGTCAAAGGGTTTCTAGCGTGATAGGAATAAAACTTTTTTTGAAGGGGCTAAAAGTGGGGTTCAAGAACGGCAAAACAGAAAGTCAAACCAGAACTTAAGTGATGAACTGGGAAAAGTCTCAGTTAAGACAAGGGTAAAGAACAAAGTAGTAATGTAAATGAGCAAATGAAATGGGCAGAAAAATGTTAAGTTATGATCTGAGATTAAAATTTTATAGTTTCAAATTTTTAAAGTAGAACATTTCTAGCAATAATAAGGTTCAAAATATGGTTGAAAGTCAAGTGGGAACAAGGGACTTGAGAACAAGAAACTACAATGCAAGGCTATTAGGCAATAACATGAATGACTGGAGGAGATGTAGATAAGGAGACAGAAGAAAAGTAATTTAAAAAGCAGAAGAACAGTTTGAGTAGGTACCTCTGAACAGTGGAATGGAATGGACTTTAAAGGAGGAGAGGCTATTCAAATGAACATAGAAGAAAAAGGAATAAAGACACTTTATGATTGGGTAGAGTTAGAAAGGATACTTTATTGTCAGGAGAAAGTTACGCTGCAGTTATTAGAAGGAAGTAAATAAGTTCATAAATAAATTTTCAAGACACATTTACAATCAATCAGGAATTCCAAAGGTCCCAGTAGAAGACAGCAAAGTTACAACTGGAGTAATGCAGGCCGTATGTTAATATTTGCTATGTGCAACATTACATTCTCATTTAATCCTCAATAACCTTATTTGATAGTGGTATTATCTCCGTTTTAATGTATAAATTGAGGCTGAGGAATTGAGTAACTTTCCCAAGGTTTCACACTGATTAAGGAAAAAAGATGGCATGAGAAACTCTATCTGATACACTCCAAAGCCCTTGTTCCTACCACTTCACTAGCCTTCTTTTCTCTGTATTTGCATAAAGCTTCTTCTCTTTAAGTTGACATTCTATCAATTACGGCATCTAGAAAACCAACTTGTTATCATTTACCAGATGCTAGTCGATTCACTGTAGCCCACTACAGCATGACAGCCTAATGCTTTAGCATGTGATTTTATTTCTTGTCTGATTTCTGCCCACCATGCATCTCGAGTTTCTGGTTCATCTGAAAAATAAATTTTAAATCAGTTCACTACTCAATAGTACATTGTCTATATGAACAAGAAATGTTTAAAACAAACATTCTCTAGGAGGTAAAGAAACACTGCTCTGTAACAGCTTTTAAAAGTTCTCATCTTTAAAATATTACCTCTGAAAAAAGGATAAGATTTAACATTTTAAACTTGACTACTGGAAAATAAAACAGTCAGTTCTATTTGTTTTATTACTTTAAGGGGCACCTGTATTTTACTAACCACAACTTCAAATGCAGACCCAGAGTTTCAGATTCTAATCTTAAACTGAGAGGATATGCTATGTCTCACCTCTCTGGGGGAACATTTTATGTGTCATATCTATAATTTTACTGTAATTTTATTTTCTGATAAATATATTTTATAAGGCAAAAAAAGTTTGCCAACATTAAAAGAGAAACTCATCTGAAGCCATGCGTCTAAAGAGATGTGACTTCTAAAGCAAAGTGACAAGAAATAAAGGGAGTAACCAACCAAAAAAGTTCAAAAAACACATTTGAAAGATTAATACAAATAATCTGGTTAATGTACGTAAGGGTTAATTTTAGACAGAATACTATAAACTCTCTGTAAGACTATAATTAAGAAAATGGCTTAGAATCACAGAGTTGTATTTTATTACCATAGAGAAGACCAATATTGCTTGTAATGTTGTTGTTATGTCCCATAGAGTCGGACCCGACTCATAGCGACCCCTCCTTGGGTTTCCGAGGCAGTATCACTAACGAAGTAGATTGCCCATCTTCCTTCTGAGGAGTGGCTAGTGGGTTTGAACCACCAGACTTCTGATTAGCAGTCAAGTGCCTTAGGCATTATGCTACCAGAGCTCCCCATTGCTTGTAATGGAGCATAATAAAGGAGCATCTGTTACACATACTTCCTAATCACGTGTGTTTAGCTGCAAACTAATAGTGAACAGCAGCTGCAAATTATAGTAACTTGTAATGTGCAGAGATGTTAAAATCAGAAACCATGTATAATCAGCATACCCTGATTTGCTTCTATTTGTGGCCATTCCCACTTGGGAACAATATGATTTGAAAAATAACACAATCATCTCTAAATAGAATGCTAAGCTCTTACTGTGAATTTTTCACATAAAAAACACTACTAAAACTGAAAAATCAAACAAATCACACACTTCCTATTTTTGAATCGCAGTTTGTATCCAAATTTCAAAATATATTTTTCCAAATAAGTAGAACAAGTAGAATTATACTCACTATTAAAATACTGAAGATAGCAAAGTAAAGAAAGGTTAAGAGGCTTGTTATAGCTCACATTAACATGATGTTTGACTTTGTTACCTCCACGGGGAGGAGATCAGCAAGAGGAAGAAATGGGCAGATAAAAGCCAGAACTACAAATGATGCACATCAGTTCTTGAATTAAGGTTTTGGATCCAAGACAGAGCTACCCTAAAACTTTCTTTCAGAAGAAAAGAAAGAAATGCAGACTCCAGGAAACTGAGGAAAAGATCAAAGTATAAGATAAAACAAAGACAAGAGGAAAAGAAATAGAAAAGACTACAATATGGTATTACCAATCAATATTATGGATTAAATGTGTAAGACAATTAGGTGGCCCTTTTTGTACATACATTACAGTGTGAGAGAATTTTTTCGTATTCCTAACTGAAATGCATATATTAACAGCACAAATGCACTTTCAAATCCATTCTCCTTTTCTTCTAAGACAAATTTGTAGACCAATTTGAACATCCACTGAATATCACCCTTTCCTAAATGGGAATGTTTATATCATAAGATAAACTACTGTTCTAGTAGCTGGTCTAATCTATCAAATTATTTATGATTTTGCAAAAACAGGTATTATAAAAAATAGTTGGAATATACTTCAGTTTAAAAAATAATTTTAAAAATATATACTTCAGTTTAAATAATTATTTTTTATTTACCGAGATAAATAATTTTTTTATAGAATGGACTTTTTTCACATTAGATTTGCCTATGCTGTACCACAAATAATACATGGCACCTCAAGTTTTCTATTTTAAAAGTGAAATTCATAGGCAGTAATCCATAGATGTTCTAAAAGTTAATGAGAAGTAGAGGAAGCTACTTATTTTAAATTCAAATATATTTATTTAGAAATGGCCAGCATGTCTTAAATGGAAATGCCATAATAATTACTGTGAAATACGTGTAACCACATAAAATACAAATTTATTTACATCAAACTTACCTTGAGATAACACATAAAATAATCAGATAATTAAACCAAACACTATGGAAGAGTAAGTGGCTGATTAAAAAAACAAAACAAAAAAACGAAACAACTGAATGCAGCGCAAGTGTAGCATTCATATTTTTCTGACAAATTCACAAGCAGCTTTTATTTTGACACATGAGCCACACATTTGCAAATGGGGATGCTATTGTTGTATATAATAAAGTATTTACAAGTTTAAAAAAACGCTAAAGAGTTACATAACATGGAAGCTAAGGAAGCAAATGGTATATGTCCACACTCCAAAGAATTTCTTAAATTTGGTTTTGGGTTAAAGCAAAAGCTCAAAGAACGAAGGGTTTGCAAAGCAGATTCAGCAGACAGGAGCTAGAAACAGTGGGTATTTTGGCGCATGCTTGGATCAGGTGACAGTACAGACTGAAAACTATGGCAGCTCACTGAAATGGTTACAGAAAGTAATGGCCCTAGATTCTAGGTGAAAGCAAGGCAAGCATACAGTAGGGAGCACTTAATCACAAACTAGTCATTGTACTAATAATTTTCTAAAACTCTAAGTAAGAAACTGAGGATGTATTACTTGCTTATTAAATTTATGGGTTGTTAATTAATATACAATTAAGGTTAATCACTTTATTTAATATTAAAGAAAATTAAACTTGTCTTCAAAGCCTGTAGTATATTAATGCCAGAAATGAAGGAGACAACATTAAAGTAATATTATGATTCAGACTAATTTGCTGCAAATGAAAATTCAGAAGTATCATAATTATTTAAACTCTATAGTAGAATTTTTAAGATTTAAAAACTGCTAACTACATGCTTACAAGCACCATACTAGTAAATCTGAATTATTTTACTCACTCTACAAAATTGAGGCTCTCTCACACTTATATAAAAGGTAAAATAAAGAATCTAGCTTTAAAAAGTATGGCAACTATACAAGCCATACAATTGCGGCATTTGAAGTGTATACAGCAAAGATGTGAGGAACCCATGTAATAAACATTTCAGAGATGCCACGAAAAAGAAAAATCTCTTCACTTTAAATGCCATGCTCTTCTTCATAATTTATATGATAATTTATAATTATTAAAAAAAATCATTCTAAGAAAGATTTAATTATACAACTTATACTTTGTGCTACTTTGTGTTTTTTCTTCTGTGAGTCAAAACTCTTCATAGATAATATCACAAATCTTTTAATATATTCCTTTTAACTGTAGGTATGAATTGAGCTCTAGAGCCATGTATCACTGACGTATCTTTCGGAGGTAATAATTGGAACATTTGTACGGACATCACAACTAATTCATTTTTTACTACCATTACTTTTCTAGAGCATGGCCATAGCTTGATATCTTGCCATCTTTTTAGCATCTTATTATCATCATGTTAGTTAAATACAGGTGAAACTGGTAAAGGTTTCCAACTGACAGTAATAGTTTACATTTCAGAAAACAAACTGAACAAAATATCTTTATTGAATTCTATCCCTTTGAGACTACAAGCAATCCATACATTTGCAACTAAGAAGCAGTGACAACCTAGGGTGTTAAATTCAGTTCTATATTTATATAGCTCTATTGTGCTGTTGTTATTTGCATGAAGTCTGACCAACTCATAGTGACCCCTCCTTGGGTTTCCAAGGCAGTATCACTACCGAAGTAGATTACCTAACCTTCCTTCCGAGGAGTGGCTGGTGGGTTTGAACTGCCAGCCTTCTGGTTAACAGTCAAGTGCCTTAGGCACTACGCTAAGAATAACCCTGCCCTTGACAATCTTTTAATCTGGTTGAAAGAAAAAAAAATGGGCAGTTATTTACGCTAATTTTCAAATGAACAAGAAAAGATAAAGTGTTCATTTGGATCAGACAAAGGCTTTTAAATTTAAATGAAACTTTATCTTGTTAATGGGCAACACTAAAAGCTACATTCTCAAATATATGAAAGTAATATTCCAACTGATAACAACCACTGAAGAAGATATATTTCCCCTAATGAAGTAGAAATTAAGAGAGTTAAGGTTCAAAGGAATATACAATCTCAAAATTAGTGGGGATTCAGTACCAGGCTAAGGAAGAAGAGTCTTTTTAAAGAGGAAGTGATATGGTTAATACAGAGCAAACATGAAGACGTAGTTATTTGAGACGTTAGGATGATAGCTAGGATATAACCCATGTTGTAAAAAAAAAAGGTCAGACATGTAATCTACTCCTTAATTATGAAATGTCATTCTTTAAATATATAAAACAGAATATTCATTACCACAATATTACTACTAATAAAGAATACTTCACATATCACACATGCTATATTTATGGCTTCTTGAGTTGTATATATCTACTTCCTGAAAAACCTTATTAAAATAATAAAAGTCAAATCCTGCTTAACTATTTTAGGCTTAGTTTTGCATCTGCTTATAAGTACCTCTCAGATGTAGTGAAAAGAATAACAGATCATAAGTAGAACTTCATTTCCAAGAAAGCCACATTTAACACACACACACACACACACACACACAGAGCTAAGTACTCTAAGAAACAGCCCAGACTGAGTGTGTGAATAGGATGCTTGCCTGATTCATCATCAATGGTGCCCCTAGTACCCAATACAGTGCTCAGCACATGGCAGTCACTCTATGAAGATCCATTAAATAAAACTAAAAAAAAAAAAAAAAGTTAATATGGATGAGCAGACTGATGTGTATACCTATAAATATTTCTTAACACATCAGCTGACTCATATCTTGTTAAAATTAAATA